CACTTGGAAAACAACGCCGACCCCCCCCCCAACCCCCAAAAATGCCAGGACTATTCAAACTTGTGACATACTTGTGGCATTTTGCATTTATGTGAAAGTGAGCATCATTAAACATAACTTATTAAAATCAGGACCCCATCTGCAAACTTTATGGGAAATGTTTTATAAACTTTTGTTTCAAGCTTTAATGCTTAATATGTATTACAATTGGCTGAGGTATCTGATGGAAGATTTTCGTTCGCAAATCAAACACCTAATGTAAGTTTACTATAATCTTAAAAATGATCAAACAAGGTTCTTGCTTTGATACAGTCATGATCACATGATTCTCCACTTCAGCAATTAAATCCAACGTCATGTTTGTGTCCTCAGCTTGTGAGCACGTTAGAAGGACCGGAGGTACCAAACTTTACCAGTGGGACCTTGAGCTTCCCGGGTCGTCACTTTTGACCTTCAGAGCCAAGGCCAGCAACGATGTTTTCATCGCCTTGTCGTCAGAACAGTCCGCTCGTGGCGACTTGTACGAGATCCTCATCGGTGGTTGGTCCAACACACAGTCTGTCATTCGCCGTTCAGCTGACGGTGACCCCAAAGAAACTGCCGCTACACCAGGTATGTGTACGCTGTAAGATCTAGGAATAAGCGGATGTGTTTCCTGTTTCCTGACTGACCCTAAAGAAAATTCCCGACCCTAGCCTTTTTGGACCCCTGCAAGCTGTAGACCCCTGCAAGCTGATCGACCTTTTCTAGATACATGATCTGACACCTGAGTGATGAAATGTTGTACAATCAGTTTTGCAACATTGACATGGAAAATACAAGATTAGTGTCCTCATGCAAGTTTTACTTAAGTTTGTTAAACTGTATTGTTTGATCAACATATGGCACATGCAAGAAGACTCCGTATTAAACACTTCCTTGGTTTCAGGCATTTTGTCTGCTGATGAGTTGCGAGGCTTCTGGATCTCCTGGGCCCCGGATGGAACCATAGCCGTGGGACGGGAGGGAGAAGGCAGCCCGTTCATGCAATGGCAGGACCCAGACCCGCTCCCCTTCCAGTACTTTGCCTACACAGTTTATGGCAGCGCTGGACTGTTTAGGTTTCCATGCCGAGGTATGTATAAATCATCTTACATGTACATTTGTACGTGAACTGGAAAAAATTCACAATACAAATCATAGCGTTACATTCTGAAGTCCGATATGTTTCTATACCACACAGCACAGTTTACACATGGCATAAGCCGGGCTTCAAGCATTTAGTCCGTACTATTTTCTGAATGTGTGACATGGCTTAACAGGCGACCACAGTGAGAGACGACCTGTGTTTCTTTTAACCAAACTGAACGGAGTTTTCTCGTCCTTCCAGTCTGCATGTATCCCCTTGGAATGGAATCTGGCGCCATACCTGATGACAGCATTACTGCATCCTCTATCTGGGGTGTTGGTTTCGAGCCCTACCGCGGTCGGTTGAACCGAGTTACTGGTGGGGGCGCCTGGTCAGTCAAAACCTGCACCATCGGGGAATGGTTTCAGGTTGGCAGACATTTTAGTACAGTAGATATCCTTGATTCTACCTGTTACTTCAGGAATGGGGAAGTATTATTTTAGGAGTCGCTTATTTATGCTAGCGCTATATTTGCATGTTTGAGTTCCAAAGTGAGTAGGTGGAGTTTGGGGTATGAGTCCGTCTGAACCGGGTGTGCAATGCATGCGATCGTATGCATGTATGGAAATGTATGGAAACCATTGTATAATAGTGCAGTAAGTTCTCTCATGGAATCGTATGGGTAGTGCTACATTTGATAATGCGTTTTTCATTAACAGAAACTACATCGTAAACTATAACTTTACTATACTGGAATCCGCGATTTTTTGTTTGGATTATTGCGCCACACACGATATCAATTTCGCTGTTTCTCTAAGGTGATAAAGTTCGAATGCCCTTGTCCGAACAATATCCTTATGTTGAAGAATTCGAATCTGTTGAGTTTAGAATTTGAATGTGAAAGCTTTGCTGCACTGACAGTGCACAATGTGGGCTAATTTTAGCTAGCAGTGCACGCTATCCAGATATGTAGTTAGATTTTCCCGGCATGTAGCGTGCATTCTATAATTAAGAACATCTGTGCATTCAGGTGGATTTAGGACAAATGAAGACCGTCACAGGCACCATCATTCAAAGTCACCATCATTACGACCAGTGGGTGACCTCCTACAAACTACAGTACGGTGTAGATGGCCTTAGTTGGATCACGTATGCAAGTAGCGATGGCTCCGAAGAGGTAGGTTATATGCACAGATATCACTTTTTTTCTAGATCAAACAAGAAGGAATCCTATCCGTCCTAAACCATTAGGAAAAAAGAACCATAGCGGCTGTTACCTACTAGGGTTTAGGTTTGACTTGCCATTGATATTGTTTGTCTCAATAACGGTATTGGCTTTCACCTAATATATTATGTAAAGAATCTAAAAAAACAACTATCATTTATCGTGATTGTCTAGGTGTTTCCAGGCAACACCGAAAGGCACACCCCTGTAACCAACCTGCTGGACAGTCCCACTGATGCCCGGTACGTGCGTTTCCTGCCTCAATCCTGGCATGGCTGGATGGGTATGAGGGTGGAGGTTCTAGGCTGCAGCGTTGACGGTAGGTTTCTGTTGAAAGTCGTTGCATTGGCACTTGACTCATTTTTTTTTACCTTCGCAAGGAACGTTATGTTTTCAACAGCGTTTGTATGTGCGTGTGTGTGTGTTTGTGTGTCTGTGTGAGTGTGTGAAAAGCTGCAGATGGATTGTTATGTAACCTAGCTAGGTAAGTGGGTGGGTGTTTGATACCTAAAACTGATTAGATTTTGGCCCCCCTGGTGGCTCACTATGGTACTGCAACAGAACTTTCGGTTTGATATCTCGTGATCTGGACGTGCTAGGGTCACGAATTTGGATGGTAGATAGCTCTTTGTCTATAAAAGAAGTGACCTTACTTTGAACCTCCCAGCAGCTTTTACTAGAACTGCAGGGCCGTTTCTTGAAAACTCTTCGAAAACGTAAAAAACGGTTGACGGATTGTCGTGATTTTGGGTAATATATGCTCGACACAATAAGATGACAATATTTTCTCTACCTTTTGCTTATTTTAGCTGGTTTTCGCCTATTTTCGTTTTTTTTCGTTTATTCGGAGACCATTATATGGAGACCCATCTTAAGTTTTGTCAAACATACAAGATGAGTAGATAAAACAGCTTAACGTTTGGCAGTTATTCAAAATTTAAATGAAGTCCCAATTTGCATAATTGATAAAACAATGGGACATTGTTATGATTTCATAGTGGTAGCTGCTGGGAATTTAGTAATTGCCATATTTGGAAGTTGAATATCACTAAACATAATTTATTCAAATCATAATTAATGCGGAAATGCTAGAATAGCCTTATTTCTGAAGATAAGACTGTCATTAGGTGTAGAATATGGTGAACTGATATTATTCGCGCAAATGAGGCTCTTATTTTTGCGTAATCACCGTGAAAAATGTATAATTAGTCAGTCTGAACTGCAAACATGCTTTGGCAAAGGTATAAGGATAAAACCTTATATGTATCAAACCTTAAAAATAGTCTCTAGCTTGCATTTAACCAACAAATAAATAGCATATCTTGCCCATGACAAACGAAAGGAATTTTACCACTAATACCAGTGTCTTGCATGCTACAAGGTTGGGGCCATGTAAATACTCTTGCATAAAAGTTTGCTAATGAGCAGGATTGTAAATGTAAGCCATTTACAGGTGGTCCGGTCATCACATGCATACGATTTACAAAAGCATTATAAACATTTCATGGAACTCTAGTTATTTTAAAAGGTCTGATCAAACAAGGTTATTGCTTTGATACTCCACTGGCGTAATTAAGTCCAACGTCCTGTTTGTGTCCTCAGCTTGTGAGCACGTTAGAAGGACCGGAGAGACCAAACGTTACCAGTGGGACCTCGAGCTTCCCGGGTCGTCACCTTTGATCTTCAGAGCCAAGGCCAGCAACGGTTTTTTCATCGCCCTGTCTTTGGAACAGTCCGACCGTGGCAACTTGTATGAGATCCTCATCGGTGGTTGGTACAACAAACAGTCTGTCATTCGCCGTTCAGCCGGAGGCCCCGCCCTAACAACTGTCTCTACACCAGGTACGAGTACGCTGTTGTGTTTCCTGTTTCCCAACCAGCTCTAGAAAACACTGCTGACCCTTGGCTTTTTGTAGGTGGACCCCTGCAAGCAACATAAAGTTTTGGAGCTGATTTGACCTTTTCTAGCGACATGATCTGACACTTAATTGATGAAACGTTGTACAATCAGTTTTCCAACATTGACATGGCAAATATACGTGTCCGCATACAAGTTTTCCTTTGTTTTCCTTAAGTTTGATCACCAGAGATCACCAAAGTCTAACAAAAAGAGAAATAAAAAGGTAATCTTTACCTACTGTCTACTGACCCTAATGTTTTTTCAGAACTGAAACAGAAAACACAACTTTTTCATTAGGTCTTTTATAAAATTTCATATTCAAATTCTGCCTTTGCAGTGTTTTACTTCTAAAAATTGTATCAAGCCATTAGGGACTTTATTAAGCAGGTGTTTATGATGCCATCATTCGTATTCAAATTATGTGTTTTTAAAAAGTTGGGCAGACGATCCGACAGTGATTATAATTCGAAACTGCAAGGAAAAAAACGATATAAGAAAACATCATGTAGCGAAAATATTTCCTGTTTTTTAGGCATTTTGTCTGCTGATGAGTTGCGAGGCTTCTGGATCTCCTGGTCCCCGGATGGAACCATAGCCGTGGGACGGGAGGGAGAAGGCAGCCCGTTCATGCAATGGCAGGACCCAGATCCGCTCCCCTTCCAGTACTTTCAAATTGGTTACTCCACAGGGTGGGGCAGCACTGGACAGTTTATGTTTCCATGCAAACGTATGTACATGTGTACATTGTGTTTATTTTTTTATTCATTGGTTCAGCATAAACATGTCACCTATCTAGCCAGGGTTGCTATATTTAAGATAATATTTAATAAGATTAAATTACTAACCCGGGGATTACATGTTCGATAATAGGGCAATGAAATACTTGTGACACATGTAATTGAGAACAACGGGAACATTTGGCAGATATTTATTATATAAATGAAGTCCCAATTTGCATAATTAATAATTCAATGGGAAATTGCTATAATTTCGTATTGGTAACTCCTGGGAATTTAATAATTGCCTTATTTGGAAGTTCATTGAAAGTGAATATCACTTAACAAAATTTATTCAAATCAGGACCTCATTTGCATGATTAATAAGGAAATACAAGACTAGCCTTATTTCCTAAATAAGACTGTCTCTGGGTGGATAATATGATGAACTGATATTATTCACGCAAATGATGCTCTTATCATTTGATAAATCACCGTGAAAAACGTATAATTAGTCAGTCTGAACTGCTAACATGCTTTGGCAAAGGTATAAGGTCATGGCACTCTTTTTGTGTAATAATAATACTATCAAACTTGAAAAGTATTTCCTAGCTTGCATATAAACAATAAATGAAGTTTGTTCTTTGCCGTAAGTTTTATTATGCATCCAAAATTTATCGGGGGCCTGCTTCATCTCAGCTAGCGTCCGTTTGGGGAGGGGGACAGTGTTGTGCCGTGCCGTTTCAGCGTATACTTACTTATTACATAGGTGTTTAGTATTAGGCATTTATACAATTGTTTATGAAAGCGAAATGTTTACAAGTTTGTATGTTGACCATTTTGGTAATTGTGACTAAATTGTATTTTTACTGTAGATAGTGTGATGGCATAATAGTGTTGATTGATATGTAAATTAGACACGACTTAACTCAAATGAACAGAAGCACACGCTGATAGGATTTACTGTTGTGTAAATTAGGCCACAGGTAGATTGTTGTTGTTGTCACAAATGGTAAATTAGGTTAATTAGATTAGGCTAGTTGAAAATAGAACCACGATACCTTGGAGAAATGAAGCGTTTTGTACTAGCTATTCCAGTATTTGCTATTGTCGTTGTGTATATGTATACAATTGTCAGTATGAACAAACCAAAGACACGAGGTCTGAACATAGCCCACCTCAATGTGTGTAGCTTACGTAATAAGGTCAACGACTTAGCCCAATTGATGAAACAAAACCAGATACACATAATGGCTGTAACAGAAACACATGTAGATGATACCATAACAGATGGACAACTATGCATAGAAAATTACAGCTTAGTCAGAAGGGATAGGAACGGGAGGGGTGGGGGTGTTGCCATAT